AAGGAGAAAGTAATGAGGTGAACACGATCTAAATACATTATACATATGTAAAAAAAGTTCTCTAAAAATTAATAAAAATAAAAAATTTTAAAATGATTAAATAAAAGATGTCATCAATAACCAGTAAATCATTTCAATAGAAGAAAAACAATCTATAACTAGATATATCCATGAAAAAACACAAGTTTTGTTGTTGTTGTTTTTAAGACAAGGTTTCTCTGTGTGACAGTCTTGGCTGTCTTGGAACTAACTCTCTTTGCAGACCACGCTGGCCTTGAACTCACAGAGATCCACCTGTCTCTGCCTCCTGAGTGGAGGGATTAAAAGTGTACGCCACCACACCTGCCTTAAGAACACAAGTTGTGAGAAAACATGGGTGGCCAGACTGGTGGCACACGCTTGAAAGAAAAAGCAAATGTGATTTCAAGTGCTTCACTATATTTAACAGTGAAAAATTTTCATGGCCAAAATTATGGAACAGAGCATGTTATCAAAAACAGATTTCATTATCAAGCTCTGTATGGATTCCAATGACTCTGTGGCTGCAGGGTGGGAGTGGGGTAGACAAGTCAGCCTGTAGCAGATAGGCCTTCCACTAGGTCTTGACTCTTCAGACGCTGAAGAGAGATAGGGTCAGGCAGGGGAGAATGACTCTCCCACCGGTCAACAAACCCCAGGCCTCAGCAGTTTCCCAGAGTCCAGAAACAACAGAGCATAAAGGCTCTATGGGCTGCCTCCCATTGTAAGGTAGGAGTAGGGTGAGAGCATATAACCAGGGGACAGGCCTAAATACTGTCTCTTCTTTTAATGACAGGTTCTCCCTCCCCATCCTAGGCATCTTTCCAACCATAGGATGCTCACAGGCACCCCCACCCACATCCACCCTGCAAACCCTGATGGGCATCCTAAGCTCTGAAGGACACATACAGTGCCTGGTGCTGTCTGGACACTCACTTGGCCTGTGGGACTCTGGTGACTTCCTTCAACTCCTCACTTTTCAAACCTTACACTTCACGGCTCCACTCCCCACTCAAACACAAAATTACACATTCAGGGGGTGCAGGGTTGAGGGCAGCAAATGCTAGAGCACTGGCCTAGAATGTTCCAGGTCCTGAACCATTCACTCAACCTAGTGGCTCACACATGCTTGCAGTACTCTTCCACCTAGGGATAGCCCAAGCCCTTTTTACTTTCAGTTTTGAGACAAGAACTTACCAGGTTCCCAGGGGCTGGCCTTAAATCACCTTGCAGTCCAGACAGGCCTTGAAACTGTGAACCACCTGGCATATCTCTGAGTAGCTGGGATCACAAGCCAGTTCCATCAGGCCCAGCCTTAGTGAGTCTTTTCAAACGGTGTGGCTAGATAGACAAGCTCTCCATTTCCCATTTAGTCTTGGTAAGACACTGATAGTAACAGACTCTGCCACAGTTACAATACCAACCTTTTTTTTCTTAAGGTATGATGGTCTCATGTAGCTCAAACTCACTATGTATCAATTGGTGACCCCAAACTCCGAATCTTCCTCCACCCCTCAAGCGCTGGGATTACAGGCACGTGCCACCAGACCTGGCTAAACAATACCAGTTTTCAAAGAGTGTTTCCTAAGTCCTGTGTAAGGGTTTTCTTTTCACTTTCTCAAGCCTTGTGCCGCCAGCCACTCTCAGATTTCTTTTCTTTTCAATCCACTTTATGTCAGTCATAAATATAAACTTTTGAACTTCTCTATCTGAACTGATGTATGTGATAAATCAACTCTAGAGGGAATGGGGTGCTTCACTGACATGCCTTTGTGTATTTGTTCTCGGGTCCAATTTTGTGCTTCCGTTTATACTTGTGACTGGTCATTGTGTGCTCTTGTTATGAGCAACCTCAAGTCAATGTGAATCAGCCTGTGCATTTAGAAAACAAAGATATTACATGCATCCAAAACCCCCTCTTACTCATCTTGCAAGATAAACCATTTTTTGTTTTGTTTTATTTCTCTCCCAAACCCTTCCTCAAACCAGAATGGAAACTTCACAGGAATGAGTGAAAGGATGAATGTCTATGGAATGAACCTCCAGGAAGCCCAGAAAATTCTATCCCTATCCACTGTGGCCCTCTGCCCAACAGGAGAGGGTCAGAACACAAACACTAGGGAGGAGCCATCTAGATTCAAAGCTCTAGTCCATGTCTCTGAAGGGGTAGGATTCTGAGCATGTGACTTGGTTTCTCTCCAGGTGGGTCGCTCCACCTGGAAATGAGGCTCCATGTGCTCAGGGGCCAGGACAGTACCACCTGTGACACTGTCCCCATCTCCCTTCTCAGTAAGACTACTGAAAGACTTCCTGCCACTGCACAACAAATCTTATTTTGATTGAAATTCAAGTAAACGAACAGCCTCAAAGTGAGGGTTTCTGTTTGATTTTGCATTTTGTATTAGTGCAGTGCACCCACTTGGGTGACAGGGGCCTAAGCTTCCACTGAGCAGCTCAAGGGCCCTAGTTTACATCTGAGTTTACATCTCCATTCAGTTCATTGCCCAAGCTTGCAGCCCGGTCCGCAGAGCCGGCTGCTGGAAAAGCTACACTTCACAAGACACAAACCAAATGGCCTGTGATACATTAACTTAACAGAGAGAGGGGCTTTCTTTACTTCCCACTACCAAGAAAATTTTATGAAAAGGTTTTGGAGATCTTCACATTACCAACCTTGGATATTCTGCTTGAGTCCAGGAGAAACCACTAGCTGCATGGAATTTATTATTACCAAATGTTCATGAACTCGCTGAACTTATGTGTAGGAAATGTCAACACCACCCACGGAAGGTCTTTATTTTGCTTTGTTGCTCTCACAAGAATAATGACCAATTAACAATATTCTTTGGGGTTGTGGAGGCGTGAAGACATGAGGAATGTGTCAAGGGCTTCGCCCTGTAACCCAGGCTGGCCTGGAACTCACTGTTAAGTCCAGACTGACCTTCACCTCCTGGAATTATAGGTACAGCCCCCATGTCCAGCCTAAGTGTTTCTGGTGAACGGAGAGGAAAGTGTGTGTGTCTACACTCAGCTTTTGACCTGAGTCGAAGAATTGTGAGTATTAAAATTTTACATAAAACTAACTCTAGCTACCTTTTTCCCTCTTCATTATATTGCCTTAAGTGCCTACAAACTTAGCTGCCACCCTTTTGCCTCTTCTGCCCCCCCAAAAAATAGTATTGTTTTAGGTTGGGAAATTAACATGAAGCCTCTCAATTTTAACTAGCTAGAACTCCTAGGAGCATTAAATATATGTGAAGCTCCTAATTAAGCATATGCAAAATCCACGGCTGTACAAAACTAGGGAAAACAGAAAGGGCCCTTTATAAGCACCAGTCACCCATAAAGACTATAACTGAAAGATGCACACACACCCGCACCCACCCCCACTCATACACACACACAACACACAACACACAACACACAACACACACACACACACACACACACACACACACACACACACCACTACTTTTGCACTGGTATTCTCAAAGAAACACCAGCACCGCGTACATGGCAACTTCACACAACTTTGGGAGTAACCAGCAGCTATACTGAAATGTTGGAACAACTCTAAGGCTGCTACTGAGTTGAACAAACGTGTTGATATTGGCCATGCTAGCTCTATTTTCTACAGTACACAACCATTCTAACTATGGCAGAAGAGAAGGAGAATGTAGGGTGCTTTTTTTTTTTTTAAGGTTAATAATTCTGGAGACTCTTAGAATAACTTCTACTTGAGAAGCTGTAACCATGAGGTCCTATCAAGAGCCTCTCCAGCTGTTGGGAACTAAGTTCTGGAATTTCCCCTCTGCTTGCCCATTCCTGACAACCCTTAAGTCCAGATATCACCGTTTAATGACCCCAGAGGAGTGCTTCTGGCTTCCAATGAATTCAGAATTCCATATAAATCTTCAGTAGGCCTCCTGATAAATGTTTATGGAATTAATGAGAAACCTAGCCTCCTAAAGCCACAGCGGGCTCCCCAGCCCCGCCCCCTCGCCTTCCTTTATAAGAGGAAGCTGAAAGACCCTGATAGAAGAGTCGAGTAATCCAGAACCCTAGAGACCTGATGCACTTCGCAAGACGCAATGACAGTCGTCGGATGTAGGCAAATGGCTCAAAAACGGGGCACCCACTGCCCCGGGAAACGCTAGGCACTAGCCCGGGTACAAACCGTCCCGCAGAGAGCGGAACCGGATGGTCGGAAACCAAGTCAGAACTGCATGGATCCCAAGGCCCCAACCCTCTTCCACCACCCTCCTTCCTGTTTATGGATCCGCTCCCACAACTCCGACTACCAAAGGGAAAGCAGACATCTCCGAAATATGTCAACACATGACACAACTTGAAGAAGCCGGCTGCTCCTTGGCGCGAGTTACAGCTTGCCAGCCTCACACTGGCAAACAGGCTCACTTTAATTACTTTTCATTTACTACGC